GAATGTGATGTTTCTGGGGCATTCCATGTTAGTTATTGGTGCCATTTTTCTAAGGCCTCCCGGCTATCTAGAAATCCGTACAACTTGTGAGCACCATGCAAAGTGGAGTGTTGTCTTACAGTTATGCTACGTGGTTGGCAGGATGTGTTGCCCTACACCCTCCCCAGCTCACTTCCTCCATGACTCACTTTCTGCTAGTTTACTCCCTGGAACAGTAAAAGCTCAGGCAGAGAGCAAACTAAAGGGGAGAAAACAGTTCTTTCTTGGCTGAGTGTCTTCATACTTTCAGGAATTGACACTTGTTTCAAGCTGGCATTCCTGAGTGAGAAAACCAGTTTCCTCTTTCTCTTTATAGGCTCTCCGTGTTTCCCCCTAAGCCTGTCTCTTGTGCTGTTCCCTTGACCTGGGAGGATGCAGCTCCGCTTCCAGTGGGTCCTGCACTCCTTCCCCAGGCCTCCTGGCTCTTTCTTTGAGGTATTCACACCTCACACAGAAATTCTGAATGCATTTAAGTCTGGTAATTTCTCCCTCTTAAAAAATAAAAGTTCAAATCCTCTACAATCTGTAGTTAGCATGATATGCAATCTCTTTCTTATGTATTGAGTTCCTTTGATTTGAATGATCCTTTGAACTTTTCTCTGGATTTCATGTGTGTCCCTCAGTTTAGGAAGCTGCCTTTCTCTAGGCCTTAGGAGAACCCTATAGGAATAGTTCTTTCCCATTTCTGTATCTGAAACCTTTCTACCATGCTTCTCAGAAAAAATTTGTATTTTTTGTATATTAAAATTCCCCTATATTTCTAATATCTTTTTTACATTTCTTATATTCAACTATCCCTACATCTGTTTGGAAATCCTGGTGGCCTAGTGGTTAAGAGTTCAGCTGCTAACAAAATGGTGGGCAGTTCAAATCCACCAGGTGCTCCTTGGAAACCCTATGGGGCAGTTCTACTCTGTCCTGTAGGGTAGCTATGAGTTGCTATGAGTCGGAATCGACTCGACTGCAACGGGTTTGGTTTGGGTTTGGTATATCTGTTTATTATAGACATTGTCTTTTAAGTGTAATATAATGTAAAATATTTTTTAAAACTTATCTTTTTATAAAACAAACAAGAGCCCTATATTAATAAATACATCAATCATAATGTCTTAATTTCCTAGTGTTGCTATAACAAAAATACCACAAGTGGATGGCTTTCAAGAACAAAAATTTCTTCACAGGCTAGAAGTCCAAATTCAGAGTGTGACTCTATGGAGAGGTTCTTCTTTGTATACTTCAGCTTCTAATAGCTGACAATCCTTGGAGCTCCTGGGCTTGTAGATTCATCTGCCTCTGTCATCATCAAACAATGTCTGTCTTCCCCACGTGTCTGCTTCTGTGTCTAATCTGCTCTTTTTCTAACACACCCTACACTGATATGACCTCATTAACATAACAAAGAAAACCCTATTTCCAAATAGGATTACATCCAAATGTATAAGGGTTAGGATTCCAACACATATTTTTGGAGGACACTATTCATTCCATAACACACACAATATTGTTTTAGAATTTGGAGGCCATCACCTTTGTTCAAGTCTGCCCAAAGAATTGTATAAACCAAAGGTTTTAATTTAAACAAGAAACTCTTGAAACAATGACATCACAATTAACAACACAATTGATCCTATCAGCCATCTTCCAAGTGCAGTAACTAGGTGTTTTGATCCAAACCAAAACCCTACTGCTGTCCCGTTGATTCCGACTCATAGAGCTGCCCCATAGGGTTTCCAAGGAGTGGTCGGTGGATTCGAACTGCTGACCTTTTGGTTAACAGCTGAGCTCTTAATCACTGTGCCACCAGGGCTCCTGTTTTGATCCATGTAATATAAAATATGCAGATGGCTTCATTTTCTGGTTTCTACCTGAGTATCTGATAATGTGTGTACAGAGCCACAGTGAGCATATGCTCTTTAAGAACTAAATTACTTCTTGATAGAGCCAGGATAAGAAAGTGCATACATGTTTGTGTTGCTAGGACAGGATTATATAATAGCATGGTTCTCAACTGGGTTTACATTTTCCCCATCTGGAGGGGATTTGGGAAATGTGTGGGCCATTTTCTGTTGTTACGATAACTGGAGACTGCTACTGGCATTTAGTCCCTGGAGGTCAGGAATGGAAACTTCCTAAAATGCACAGAACTATCCTACACTAAAAAGTGTCCCATCCAAAATGCCAGTTACGCCCTGTAGAGAAATACTGATTTAATGTGTTGTAACCTGTATTAGTCAGGACTTTTAGCTGCAAACAAGAGAACTAACTTTAGCTAGTTTAAATGGAAAAGGAACTTTTTAAAAGATTCAGTAGCTCACAGAATCCCCAGGAAGTCAGAGAATCAGGCTTGCCAGCCAAGCATCAGGACCAATGCCCCATTACATTGCCAGCTGCTCAAGGGGAACACTGTGACTGTTACCCTCTGCCAGCTTGTACGACCGACACAGGGTACAAGATACACCAGATAGGACCTTTGCACAATGGCTTCTGAAAGTTGGATGTCTCTCCACCATCCTCACCTGAATGGATTCCATGTAAGAACTCCCTCTTGCATGGTGGAGCCTAGGTCACATGCTAAAACCCCAGTGGTAAAGAAGGTTGAGAAGGCCCCTCTATCTGGGAGCCTCTACCTTGGGGAAGCAGGAATCACAAGGTAGGAAATTCTCCAAACGTAAGAAAGGTGTTGAAAAGATGCTGGACATTCACTAAGTATGACAAATGCTTACCATATCATCATAAAGCCCTTGTGACATACCTCTCCGTATAGACACTTCTCAAGGTTGGACGTAGTTTCCAAATTTGTCTTCCAGGACCTTAAAAAAGATGTGCTTAATCTCTCCCCACTATTGCATATTCATTCTATTCCCTACCTCACCATATCAGATATTTTTGAATTGGTGCATGCATATCATTTTTGTTTCTTTCCTCAACACTGCAATTACTGTCCAGCCATGAGATTTGTATTTCTTTGTTCTCTCACCTCCTGCAACTTTATATATTACACATAAGTGCTTTCAAAAAAATATTTTTGGAAATTATGGGTGAGATAACATGTATGTGGTTTAAAAAAAAAATCAATGAAGAAAGTACAGTGCACTTTGATTCAAAGACATTATTATAGTGACATTGTGCCCAGTGGTTTTTTTGGCAGAGAGTGTGGGAACTAATCTGAAGTGTTGTACCAATTTTCTGTGCCATTATTTATGAACAAGAACTCCATATACCATATAACAGCTTAAGCTGACAATATGGCAAGCCAGTATGTGTCATTTTCCTAAGATGAGTAAAATAGTTAACATAAATATATAGGGCCATGTCATATGATCGTAGTTTTTGTTTTCGGTTCTTTTTAATGAACCATTAAGGAGAAATCAATGTAGGTTTACTGGAAACAATGAATTGATTTCTCAGTGTTTTATTGTTATTTGAAGCTGTAACAGAATTTCATAGCTTCCAAGAAGGGACTAATGGTGGAATACGTAGAGAAATAAATATTACAGTTTATGTTTTAAAATTATCTCAAACATCCTGAATTTATCAATTATATTTAATGGATGCAAATATGTAGTTTTGAGCATATTACAAGAAAGATGATGATAGCACCTTCTTTCAGAATCTCTCAAATTACCTTATAAACAAGCTTTATTTTCCCCCAAAACAGTGATCCAGGGAAGAAGTGTGATAGCTAGTATTAGAATTTTAAATTTACTTACAGTGAATTGCTCTAATATTCATTTTTACTGTGAATGGAATAGTCCAGGGGTTTGTCTCTTTTTGTTAGCATGTATAGCTACTACCAGATTCATGTAGGGACTTGGAAACTGTTTTTAAAAAGTACACTGGGTTTATTTATTTTTTTTAATATGAAGTCTCTGCCTGGAAAAACAAGAATCCAGCAATGCATCCACAATTTGTTCAAAGATAAAATTATTTTAGGTGAGATTTGAAAGTGATGAAAAAATAAATGATATGGGTTATCTGTTTATCAACTTACATTTAGAAATACTACGGGTTTGTTTTCTTTGTGTGAGGAAATAAATTGTTAATTTGTCACATAATGTGGTAGTTGGTTTATGAATCTGTGCTTGAGTGCAGAGGTGCAAACACGTATTATTGGTCAGATACTTGAAATGGCATCTGGAACATGAAGTCAAAACTGCTTGAATTACCTCCTTATGGGGAATATCTGGCTGCTGGGAAGATGGAAAGAGGCCCATTTGCAGATTTGGAGTGAATAATTTGAATTTTAAGTATGCTCTATTTATAAATCTAGTACATCTCAAAGGTTAGTCTACTCTGAGAAGTAATTGATACTATAATAACAATTCAAGAGTCTATGAATGGGACCAAGTTCAGAGCTGCCAGAATCTTGTCCAGTTATTGAAAATATTGGTTTGACATCCCTTGAAATATTCATATAGGGTCTACTATTTTTGACTGACATATCCCTAAAAATGTTGGCATCTGATTATAAATGTGAATATGTGCCACTGCGGTTTCCCTACATGAAGCTGACAATCAACACAGGTGAAACTGAACATCAAGTCTTCTAGATTTCTAAGCTTCTTATGGCCAATCGATGCACTACAGTGGCCCAATCAAGAGGGTGGCATCATGGGATTGTCACAAAGAACACTGGTCTAGGATCCTTACAAATCATCTGTCTTATTCACATGGATAAATTCTTTCAAATTACAGATTGGAAAACTGAGGCTCAGAAACTCAAAGTGAATTGCTCAAGATCACATGTCAGTGGTGGAGCCCGGTTTAGAAGCCAGTTTGCGTCTTGTCTCAAGCCAGTGTTCTTTGAGCAACCATGCAGTCTTCCCGTCAGAAGACAAGGCTACATCACAGCCAGTTTCACCTTAGGACAACATACTCCAGCTATGAGCAAGTATTCTGTGAATCTGATTGATTTTTAAAAAAAAAAAAAAACTTATTTTGAGTATTTCAGATCTCAAACTTGGATTTTTGTCAACCGACATCTTATTAGGTTTTAAAAATGGAACTATGAAGATTTATTTTATACTTTCCGTTGTCTTCATAAACCTCGTAAATAAAGATATCGTTGATAAGGATTAGAACCCTTAGTTCCTAAATACGTTTTTCCCCATTCCATCACATCAGCTGACCGTCCTCATATGCGTCATAGAATTTCAGGGCTGCAAGGGAGCTGGTCTAGTCAAAAGAAAGTGACTTCCCCTTTGTTAGGCATCTTTAACTCGTGAAATGTATTGTACTTGCTGGAGAGAGGCAGTGTGGCATTGTGGAAGGAGTGTTAACTTTAAAGGCAGACCTGAGTTTAAGTTTAGCTCTATTATTTATTAGCTTTATGACTTTGGGCTATGTCACCGTTTAAAGCCCCAGTTTCCTAATCTGTAAAACAGTACTCCTAACTTCCTAACAGGGTCACTGAAGGGAAGAAATGTAATAATGTGCCTAAATCACATGTCACACAGCCCAGGATTTAGTAGGTATTTAACAAATTAGAAATCATGATTCTTAACTAAAGCCACAGTAAGACATGTAACCCTAGCTTGCAAATATATACTATTTTACCCTTTCAAATTGTCCAGATGGATTGTGAAAGCTCCCTGAGGATAAAGATATTTACAAATATATGCTGAGAAGTGCTATCTTTCCTGAAATATTGTGAGCTTAGATTATGGGATGATGAAAATAGCATTGGAACTTTGAGATGGAGTCCTAGGTTCTAGTCCAGGTCCAGTTACCTAATAGCCGTGTGGCCTTGGTTAAAGCACTCAATCTCTCTGAGTCTGTTTTCTCATTTGAAAAATGAGACCAAAAATATATTTGCTTGCTATTTTAAGGGTTGATTTAAGGAAGCCCTCTACAACATAAGACCCTCTTCCACTGGGAGGTGTTTCATGGTAAGGCAGCTACCAGGTTTTTGCATCCGGATAGACCTGCTCCTTTCATCTTTGCTAGTGATGCACTTCAGTGACACATTATTAGCAGTTTATGAGTTGCTGTTTAGGTTCCCTTTAAATTTAATGTTCTGTTGTTAATTGTCTCTGGAGCAGTCTGATTTGGAATGCTTTAAAAGTCTAAAGTTGACAACAGTTCCTATCACAATTGTCTTTGGGTGCTTTGATAACTGTGCTATTTCAGCATGAATGATAGGAACACAAGAGTGAAGAAATACTGAAACTACCACAGTTCCTGTTTATGACTTCATTGTACCAACACAGATCCAACAACTTCCAAGAGTGAGAGGAAAAATGCAGAAAGGCAATAAAGGGAAAACAATACATTTATTAAGAGACATGAAAAATACATAAACTCATTTATAAATAAATGTAATATAATTTACCCAGTGAAAAAATAGCGAAAATCCATGAATAAACTGGATTTTATATATGAAATGCTTTCATACTTGGTCTCACAGGTTAGGATTTACAACACTATTTTTGGGGGACACAGTTCAATCCATAACAATCTCCAGATAATTTTTCCCCTCTATCATGATCTATTAGTAGCAGCAATTTTACCAGGACTATAGAAAAAGCTGTTACCAATAATCATCATATGGGGGAAATTTTTCAAGAATTTTCTTTAAAAATATATCAGTGTGAACAAATTCAGATTGCAAGGGAAAAGGTAAGACCTAGGGCTTATCTTCAGAAAAGTAGAAAATAAAAAACCCAACTACTTACAGACTAAGAAATAAAAAAGAAAACTATGGTTTGATCAGTGAAAAATAATAGGTATGGATATTGTAAAACATTCTTCGTCAGTGACTACAATAATTACATTTATAAATGTTCATTCAAGTACTAATGCTCAATAAACATTCACACTTCCTATTAAAAATAACACTAGATGTAGACATGTCTAAACAGTGCTTTTGATTTAAAAAAAAATCATGTCAACAGGAGTCAAGTGACTCTTAAAATACTAATTTTTTTTTGTCAGTAAATGATTTTTCCGTCTGTATTTTTTATCTGTAAAGACCCAAGGAACATCTCACAATCAACTAATTATAAGTCCTTTTCACAAAATACTTCTCACCATTACAGAAAACAAACATTCTAAAGCATAAAAACCAAAACCAAAGTCGATTTCAACTCATAGCGACCCCATAGGGCAGAGTAGAACTGCCCTATAGGGTTTCTGAGAAGCAGCTGGTGGATTTGAACTGCTGACCTTTTGGTTAGCAGCCAAATGCTTAACCACTGAGCCACCAAGGCTCCTTCTAAAGCACAGGTTCAGCTTAAAACATAATAGAGCAGAATCAGTTTTCTTTGGCAAGAAATGGTTGTTTCCTTACCAAATGTTGGCTTGCTGTCATGTTGACACTATCAGGATACCTCTTTGGTACTCACCGAAGAGATATCTAATAAACTGAAAAGACTGCATGAACCATGTTTCCATGATAGCCATGTAGAGTTTATGTCAAAGTCGCACTAAAATCAACATTGTTTGCTTGATCCCTGTAGTTTATTAGTCTTCCTTCAAAAAGCTCCCTCCTAATTTTGGCCTGAGTCTCAGGCTTTAATAAAAGCTCTTTTATCTGTTTCACTTTGGACTTGCGACTCATCCTTTCTCGATGCAAAGCTTCATTAATTAAGTCCCGGATTCCAGTAGGTTTCTGGCCTAAAGAAAGAAATTATATAATACATTTTACATACAAATGCCAATGAAAATCATTAAGATATGGCACACTGACTTATCAGAAGAGAGTTAAAAAAATCTTTAAAATGTTGCCCACATTTTATAGAAAAGGTTGCATTTCACCAAAACTATAACATTCACATTAAACATAATTATGGTAAATAAAGATCACTGTGTAGCAACAGCATAATTAGGACAATCATGAAACATCATATACTGAGACTATATGGATGATGATTTCAACAGTGGTTATTTTAAACTTAGCACTTGTTAGCTTTGTGTTTTGGCCTCAGATAGTCAATATGCCCTGCTAAGCAATAGAAATGGCAGTATTCCATTTATGGCAAGGCCTCTCCGCGGCCCTAAATTTGAGTCCACAAAGGCTTAATCCAAAGTCCTTTTCTCCTGTGCAGAGCAAGAGCTTCCTGTGAGCTAAAGGCAAGGGAAACTTAGGCCATTCTTCTTCCATAAATTAATTTCCTCTGCTAGTCCCAGCACTCCGTTCCTCTTCTGTTGCGTTTCAGAAAGGCAAACACATTTATCATGAAAGTATTAGACAGTCTCTTCGGATTCCACATGAGACGCTTAAGTGGCATGATTCAGGTCAGTCCTGTGACTTAGCAGAGGGGAGCAGGGATTCTATTCAGAGCAGTGGGGCCAGGGGTGGGTCTCATTTCCTGTTGTAATCACTGTCATTGACATTCCTATCAGCCTCTTCAGGCTTCACAGAGTTCCCATCCCCTGGCTTGTTTTTGTTCTGTGTTTCTTCCAGATACTGCTGGACAGCCTTGAGCACCGCGTTCTCCACCAGCCTCTTACTGAGCCTTACCAGTTCAGCATCATCGGGCTCACCTCCATTCTTTTCACCTACATTCCACAATAGAGAAGAGAGATCACTGATAGCATAGTACCCTAGAAACTGGGCATGCAGGGGCCAGCTAGTTCAGTCAGTTAAAAAAGAGCAAATGCCCTTTAATCTGATAAACTGGATCTATAAATCCAAGAATCTAGCTTGGCTTTTCATTTTGTATTTGAAAAAGCAGAAGTCTGCCTATTCCTTAAGACTTCAGGTTGAAAAGTAGTTCATTAGCCCCAGTCTAGAAATACTCTACCTAGCAATGCTGGAAGTTTCCATTTCTACATGAAAGTTTTGTTCTTCTCACATCCAAGCTAATCGCTACAATTAAAGTTCATCTGCCCACCACCTGGAGCCTCAGACATGTGAATTCACCAGCTAGCTCTATTTCTACTTCCCCTTTTTCACTATCAAATGTCAGGTAATCAGGATTTCCCTATAGTCTAATTACTTAGGATCACTCATTTGAAAACGTTTGGCCTATAGCTTGAGTATTAATAAACTTTCAGAACTCTTGTGAAGACAAAGGCAGTTACTACTACTAGGAACTAGTTCTAAAATAAGTTTGTGAAACTAATATTCTTTTAAATCTCAGTGGTATCATTGCAATCTAAGAAACAGGAAATTCTTCAAGGAAGCATTAGGATCATGATAGTAAATTACTAGATGTTAATATTTTAGGATAATTTTGCTTCCCTGCTAGTGATGATTAAGGTTTAATTATTCCATCTTTCATTTTATTGTAAAGGAGCTGATTCTCATCTATTCTCATGCAACACATTTCCCAGTCACACTCCCATAACTTGACAAAAGAACAAAGAGTTTCTTCTCCCATGTCCACTCAGTTCCCTATTTCCTTCCATTGAGCTGTGGCCCTAGGAAGGCAGATGTTTGGAGGCAAAGAAGTTGTAGAAAGTCTCACATGTTAAGATCAACTCAGTTTTGGAATATTACCCATGGGCTCCAGAAAGTAAAAGCCCAGTGTTGCCCTTGCAGCTTTGGGTCTGGGACAAGAGGACACAATGGGTTTGAATGGAAGATTCAAACTCATTGTGAATTATTATTCATATATAAGGCATTATTTTCTATCCTCACATGTAACAGAGGTTGTATAGAAAAGTATATACACCAAGGATGAGAACTGGTCCCTCAACCCTCTGGAATGCTGTCACTTCTATGTAACGCATGTCTAGAACCAATTCTGCTTATAATCGCCCCCACCATTCTTAGCCACATCCCTTGGAAGGACAAGCAGGAGAGAGGATTAGTTAAAGGCCTATCCTGAGATGCTAAAATTGGGAAAATTTAGCAATTGCTTTCCCTCCTGAAAAGTGTCAATATGGTGCCCCAGATGCCAGCTCAAAAGCCTGAGATAAAACAGTTGCAATGCAAAACATGTTTAGAATTGAGTAAGCTTCAGCTTAAACCAAAAAAACCAAACCTGTTGCCCTTGAGTCAATTCTGACTCATAGCCACCTTATAGGACAGAGTAGAACTGCCTCATAGGGTTTCCAAGGAGCTACTGGTGGTTTCAAACTGTTAACTTTTTGGTTATCAGCCAAATTCTTAACCACTATGTTACCAGGGCTCCAAGCTTCAGCTTAGTGACATCTATGTAGAACTCACTACACATAATAGACTCAAACATACCAACAATTACGGAGATGGTGCAAGACTAGGCAACATTTCATTCTGTTATACATAAGGTCACCATGAGTCAGAGGCGACTTGATGGCAACTAACAACAACAACACATAAAGATGTCAGGACATTATTAAAAGAAAGATAAAGAAATTCATCACTAATACCACATTTTGGGGCAAGCTAAGATTGTCCCCATTAGTAAGGATGAATGGCGTATGTTGCCTTAACCTTAGAATACAGTGTTTATACTGTATAGATGACAGCTCCAAATACATTACCTGGCACTATCTGTATAATGGCTTTTGAAATCTAAATGGGAAAATCAAAATGTAAATAAGGAATACTTTCTAAGTACCCTTCAAAACACTGGAAATGACTCTCTACATTTGCCACCCTATGCATGCTGGGTTTATGCTGGAGACTGTATTCCTAGGGGCTGTTCCTGAACCTAGTAATCAGCTTTCTCATACATAAAATAGCAAGACTGTATTTGAGTAAAGTTAATAACTCAATCTCCAAGATCCCTCTCAGGTCTAATATTCTGTGCTTCTGGAATTACTATTCATCTGCAAAGAAGTGTCCCTGTTAGTTCAAACATCAAGAGATAAAAAAAAAAAAAAAAAAAATCTTCCTACAAAAAGCAGATTTTCCAAATACATGGAATTGAATAACACCTTGTTTAAAAACAACTGATAATAGAAGAAATTAAAGAGGGAATCAAAAAATTCCTAGAATCAAATGAGAATGAAAACACACCATACCAAAACCTTTGGGACACAGCAAAGGCAGTACTCAGAGGTCAATTTATAGCAATAAACACACAGATCAAAAAAGAAGGGCCGAAATCAAACGTTAGTCCTCCAATTTGAACAAACAGAAATAGAGCAGCAAAAGAAGCCCGTAGGCACCAGACAAAAGGAAATAATAAAAATTAGAGCAGAAATAAATGAAATAGAGAACAGAAAAACAATAGAATAAAAAAGACCAAAAGTTGTTTCTTTGAAAAGATCAACAAAATCGACAAACCACTGGCCAAACTGACAAAATAAAAACAGGAAAGGAAGCAAATAAGGCAGCTAAGAAATGAGATAAGCGACATTACAACAGACCCAACGGAAATAAAAAGGATCATAACACAATACTATGAAAAACTGTACTCCAACAAATCTGAGAACCTAGAGGAAATGGCCAAATTTTTTGAAACATGTTACTACCTACCTAAACTAACACAAACTGAGATAGAAAATCTGAACAGACTCATAACAAGAGAAGAGACTGAAAACGTAATGAAAAAAAACTCCCAACAAAAGAATAGCCCTGGCCTGGATGGTTTCACTGCAGAATTCTACCAAACATTCAGAGAAGAGCTCACACCAATACTACTCAAAGTATCTCAGAGCACAAAAGAGGAAGGAATACTCTCGAATTCATTCTATAAAGCCAGCATAACTCTGATATCAAAGTCAGCCAAAGACACCACAAAAAAAGAAAATAGTAGACCAATATCTCTTGTGAATATAGATGCAAAAATTCTCAACAGAATTCAGCATCATATCCAAAAAATAATTCACATGATCAGGTAGGATTCATACCAGGTATGCAAGGATAGTTCAACATAAGAAAATCAATCAACATAATCCACCACAGAAATAGACCAAAAGAAAAGAATCACATGATCATCTTAATTGACACAGGAAGGTATTTGATAAAGTCCAACACCCATTCCTGACAAAAACTCTCGGCAAATAGGAATAGAAGGGAAATTCCTCAACATAATAAAGGACATCTTTACAAAACCAACAGCCAACATCATTCTCAATGGAGAGAGGCTAAAAGAATTTCCCCTGAGAATGGGAACAAGACAAGGATACTCTTTATCACTGCTCCTATTTAACATTGTGCTAGAAGTCCTAGCTAGAGCAATAAGGCAAGAAAAAGAAATAAAGGGCATCCAAATTGGAAAAGAAGAAGTAAAACTATTCCTATTCACATATGATATGATCCTATACATAGATAACCCACAAGCAGACTACTGGAACTAATAGAAAGATTCAGCAGAGTAGCAGGATATAAGATCAACATACAAAAATCAGTTGAATTTCTATACACCAACAAAGAGAACTTCGAAAAGGAAATCAGGAAAACAATATCATTTATATTAGTCCCTAAAAAAGATAAAATATTTAGGAATAAATCTAACCAGGGATGTAAAAGACCTATACAAAGAAAACTACAAAATACTATTGCAAGAAACTAAAAGAAACCAACATAAATGGAAAAACATACCATGCTCATGGATAGAAAGACTCAACATTGTAAAAATGTCAGTCCTACCCAAAGCGATCTACAGATATAATGCAATCCTGATCCAAATACCAACAGCATTCTTTAATGAGATGAAAAAACTAATCACCAACTTTACATGGAAAGGAAATAGGCTCCAGATAAGCAAAGCATTATTGAAGGAAAAGAACAAAGTAGG